ATTTAACAGAAATCACTTTTCAAAAACTACAACGAAGGACTCGTTTGGACTACAACGCCTATTTTCCGGGATTTGTGATATCACAAATGCCGACGAATGGGACGAGACCTGGTTGAGCTGCACTAGAGAAGGCAACGAGTGTTATCACTATGTCGGAGACACTTAGAGTGGTTACAATCATCCGGGTTTAAATCGCACTCAAATTGATTTGATTTTGAGCAATATTTACACTGAAGCTCGCAGGTGGCTATGGTAAGGGGCATGACATTTCCCGACCAGGTAAAAAATAGTTCATGCAACTAAGTAATATTTTCTCACTGCCCTCTAGGGCCTCAAAACAGCACTGCACATGATATGTCACCGCGCTGTACACATTATGCAAGATCGTCGTATGACACAATTAAATAGCCTATGTTTGCATATATCATCACACATTTCGTGAAAGCATAATTTAACTAAGAACAATGACAAGATTAAACTGTAAAAGAGCAGGCTAATAAATAAAAAAAACACTGGCAGACAAGGCAGAAAAAGATCTTTCTGTTAGTACTTCAATTTATATTTGGCTAGGCTACATGAGTCAACAACCCTTAACCCCTAATGACTTCAGAAACTGTCAGCTTTAGATTTTTGCCTCATAAGTTCATCATTCAGACTCATTATTTTTAGTTTGACTGTCTGTGCTGTTTCTCATTTGTCTATTATTCTTCCTGAACATGAACTCTTCCTGTTGTCTTCCATGCTCAATTTATTGATTAGCCTACAATAAATCCACTCAGATGAGTGATTGTCTTTCACACAGCACATGGATCTCATTTCCCACAAAACTGGAAGGAAAACAAAAGCATGGAAATGACTTGTTTAAGAGTCTGGAATGGCTTTCCTTTATCAGACAGAGGCGGAGAGGCCTTTTTAAGTGGCTATCATGGTGAATGCAATGAATGCCGCAGGCCAGGGGGATTTGAGTGCCTGTGGTGACTGTGTTAGTTGATGGAGATCAAAAAGAGGAAAATGAACAATAGTCGTTTTGTTATTTTCAATTATTTGCCTTGGAAACTATGCTTTCCCAACCAGCAATAACTAAATATAGTATGCTTTATGAATTTCGCCACCTTGGAATTATAAGGTTCTATCTGCATTCTGCATTTTGAGATATTGAGCTTCAAAGATTTTGCATTCCAAATAGCAAAAATTATATGGGGAACAAGTCTCTTTCATACATGAAAATGGCAGAGACCCTAAATGTATTCTAAATGCACAATATCAAAATCCTCTCAAATTTGTAAATGGGGATTTTTGGAACAGATCAAATGCAGATAGAACCTTCTCATTCTAAAAAGTCATTTTCCACTTGGTTCTATCTTGCAAAGCATTAATTGAAGCAATAATTTTCAAACACAAACAGTTTACATAAAATACATAAAATTAGTGATGTAACAATGTGTCAACATGTAGTGAGAAAGGTCAAATGAATGCTTTCTATGGCATTTATTTCATACTTTAGGACAAATAATTTTTTTCTTGTTCAAGTTAACCATAAAAGGCCATGCTAAATATTTTGTCAAGTGCAGATGTAGGAATATGGTGGGTTATTAAACACATTATTACTGGAACAGTTTAAGCAGCTGTAATACATCTGACTAGGACTTTATTCCACATAAAGTGTGACAGGTAAAATGGCTTTCTCTCTAGAGATCAGTATGGCCGAGATAACATGCTTACGTTTATTGTTGTAATTAAGACCCCATCAAATAAATGTACTATTTGACCTTTAAGGCTTAATAGTGTAAAATGTAAGACATTTTAAGACTTTAAACTGCAAGAAAACAGACAATGCTTCAGCAAAGTTGTTTCATGGATGAATGTTTCGCCAATCATTACATATTATAATTTATGACATATTATAATTTATAATATTTAGCAACCCAGACCTATATATCTAACACAGATCGATTTAGACAAGAAAGTTGGAGTTTCGACTTTGTAGATAGAACCTTTTTGTTTTCTAAATAAAAAGTCATAAAATATACACAGCTTTTTAAAAAACATTACATAATGTAAATAGGTTTTCACAGAATAAGAATTTGTCAATAACAAATATGTCAGATAGAACCTTATAATTCCAAGGTGACGATTCATCTGCATGTCTTTTTGGTTGTCTGCATCATTTCCTTAAGCTATTTGTTTGAATTTCAGGCCTTTTCCTCAGTCTGTTCTTGGCCTCCATCTCTGTGCTAGTAATGTCTTTTCATGACACAGGATATTAGCCGATTCTTGGGCAGAGATGGGAAACCCCTCGCTGCTGGCTCTGGAAGTTCACACGATCCCCTGAATATTTCTTCAGTTTTCCATAGAATTTGGGAGAAAGGAAAATAACTGACAGCAATGAAACAGAAACCATCAACTCTCCTAAACTGCTGGAAACTATAGATTGTTGTCTTGGAAACAGCCATTCCGACAAAAATCACAGAGCATCAGGAGGTAAAAACTTAAAAGGAATACTTTACCCAAAACTTAACATTTGCTGAAAATTGACGCACCCTCAGGCCACCCAAGATATATATGAGTTTGTTTCTTCATCAGAACAGATTTGGAGAAATGTAGCATTACATCACTTGCTCACCAATGGATCCTCTGCAGTGAATGGGTGCCGTCAGAATGAGAGTCCAAACAGCTGATAAAAACATCACAATAATCCACAGTCCATCAGTTAATGTCTTGTGAAGCGAAAAGCTAATCAAAAGTATCATTAATGCATTTGAACCTTGGATGAAAATCTTGGATGACCAGAGGGTAATTACATTTTCAGCAAAACTTTATTTTTGGGTGAACTATTCCTTTAATCTGCAATCAGAGACATTATTGGGGGTAGAACTATGTTGTCCCAAACCCTGTGACAAGGGGGCCCATGGAGATCCTCAATGATATAACCTACCCATGAAGTCAAAATCTTTAACACAACACATCGAGTAGAGGTGTTCGGAGTTTTCAGACTGTTTGGTTGTTTAAGGCCAGAGGAAACGGCTATGTCCCAGGGTGCTCTCAATCTGAAATGATTTAGAGTTTACTGCAGGCTAATTGCTTTAACAGTTGACTGCTGGGTGGAAGTCATGCAAATGTACCCTTAAACCACGTTGATATATTTGGTTTATTATGCATACTGTTTTTGTATGTTTACAGCAGAACTACTGTACAGTACAGTACATTAATGTAAAATTCCATCAAAAGCTCTCCAATCCTCTGATTAGAAGTTTGAAACAACATAGTGTAAAAATGTCTTTTACACAGTTTAAATAATGTAGCATCAAAAACGTAACCTAAAATTAAATGCATAGCTGTTATCATAAAGCCACCAGAGAACATCATGAGAGGGCAGAAGAGAGAACGGGGGTTAAAAAGCTGTTATCCACAGCCGTTCTGTTAAATACAGGTCTCTGCACCACTAAAAGGTGAAATTAGAGGGTTAAGAGATGTTTACTGTATATCAGTAAGTAGCCTGATGGTGTTTGTCGTATTTTCATCAAAAGAAGTCCAACCTGTATGCACATGTACCGAAGAATAGGATCCCTGTGTTTATGTCCTAAGACAGGAGATCATAAGATATATTAAAGCCAGCTGTGTGCTCAACTGCCTCACCGAGATCTGACACACACACACACACACACACACACACACACACACACTCACACTCACACTCGAAGGAAAGGCTGGTAAAAGAGGGATGCCACATGTGGAAACATACATAAACTCAGAGGCTGATACACATTCTGCTTTGAGTAGAAACGGATGGACTGTTTTTCACCTACTGTATAGTAGGGAAGTATGAGTATTCAAATGCAGCCTGTGACTTTCTTTATGAATGAGTCATTACCAGTGTTGGGGGGTAACGCATTACAAGTAACGCGAGTTACGTAATCAGATTACTTTTTTCAAGTAACTAGTAAAGTAACGCATTACTTTTTAATTTACAAGAGAATATCTGAGTTACTTTTTCAAATAAGTAACGCAAGTTACTTTTGTTTCCAATTTATTGATTGACAGTTCTCCTGTCCCCATGTTGAGAGAAATCAGAAGATGTTACTGTAGGTCTAAAATAAATATGAATATGCATCAATTCATCTCACTCATAAAAAACAGATTCCGTATTCCTCAAAATTAATAAAAGTAATGCAACTCAGAATATGACGCAAACCTGCAATAATTAAATGTTAAACAACACAAATATCCTTTATGTATTTATTCCCATTCTATTAACCAATGTCTTTGCTTCTGACCTTCGATGATCCAGTTCAACCATAATAATAAGCAAAAATTACTCTAGACAAACATTTGTGTGTTTTTTTTATTGCTGAAGTGTGTTGAAATGTCTTCTTCTGCATTCTACTGTACAGACGTACATTTACTTTCCCTTCAGCCTGAGGCTTATTCATTTCATTTTTGGTGTGAAAAGGCTTTTATATATTTGCCAAAAATATAACTTTTTTATTTTAAAAACAAACAAGCCCGCCCTGTCCAGAATTAAAAAGTAACGCAAAAGTAACGTAACGCATTACTTTCCATAAAAAGTAACTAAGTAACGTAAGTAGTTACTTTTTTATGGAGTAACGCAATATTGTAATGCATTACTTTTAAAAGTAACTTTCCCCAACACTGGTCATTACATCATTCAACAGATTCATAAAAAATCACTGATTCATTAAGGAATGCCAATGTTGCTTGGAGACAACAATCTTGGTTTGGAACTATTTTCATTGACGGAGTAAAAATGGACAATGTAACCAGCACTATTCTACCTAATATAAATGACTCAATATTCAATTCTTTATTGAGATGTTGTATAAATGTTACACCGTTTTATAATTACAATTAAGGCTTCTGCGATTAACTATTCGTAAAAACGGGACAATTATAGAATTCCATTTTTGTGCATTCCGGTTGTGTACAAATGTTATATTTAATATGTTAAAAAATAAGGTTTTGAACCAAAGTGAAAAGCGTTGTCGCACAAATAAAGTATTTTAATATAAAATTCTATTGATCAAAATTCAAAACTGCACTTATAATACTGTATATAGTTATCAAAAGGTAGATGTATTTTTCATAATTATACAGGTCTCATTCAAATTTCACAGTTATTCATGTTTTGTTATTCAACTTGTCACTCTGAAGGAGAACACTGGTGAAACAATAGAGACATTCAGCTCCAGTAGCTACTCTCTGTACTGAATTTCAGAGCTTCTAGCAGCTTCCAAACTACTCCACAGTCCCGTTGTGTGTTCTCCATCCATTTTAGAGGCCTGTGCCATTGGGAATTTATTTAAGCTTCTTCCTCGCCGTGTCCATGTTTGATTATCCAGATGTAGAAAAAGCTCTGGAGAGGGGTGTTTTTTTTTTTTGCAGGCTTACTACTTTTTAGTTTTTTACAGTCATTGCCTGAGTGCCATGTCTCAAACTGAATGGCTAAAAGTAAAAAAAAAGTGTTTTTTTTGTTTTTGTTTTAGTTTTTTGAGGGTGTTGGGGTCTGAAATTTAGTAATAATCCCTGTTATAGTCCTGTGATTGGCCATAGTTCATCATTTCATTCATGTTTTGTTCCAAATAGGTAGACATCTCATCTGGGTAAAAAAAAAAAAAAAAACATTATACTTTACATAAAGTTATTTGAACAGGAAATACTACTGTAAGCCATTAAAGCTCAGGGTATATCTTTTACCTGGTGGCAGGACTCCTAAAATCGCTGTGGCTGAGACGTGGCCAAGCTCATTTCGAGCGATGCACCTGTATGTCCCAGAATCCATCTGACTGGCCTCTTCAATCTGCAGCCAACTGGAAAGTTCATACTTCTGAGGGCCACCTCGTGACTATAAGAAAAACGTAGAAATGGAAAGACTGAGGTGGATCCCGACACACTTTTTCCTATCTACTAAGCAATGAGATCCATATATAAATGTTGTAGTTCTTGACAAATTCATTAACGGAATTAACCAGGATCAACCTCCATGTCGCAAATCTTGAACCATAAACACCTGCAGTAAATCATCAGACATGAACATTCCTATAAAATCTGCTGACTTTATTCACATTTTCTGCACTAACGTTGTGGAAAAATCTGTGAAATTCTGTGTAATGGATTTCAACATGGTATCATTAGCCAAAATAGCTAAAAAAAAAAATGAAAATGTACTCACTCTCATGCCATCCAAGATGTAGATGAGCTTGTTTCTTCATCGGAACAGATTTGGAAAAAAATAGCATTACATCACTTGCTCACCAATGAATCCTCTGCAGTGAATGGGTGGCGTCAGAATGAGAGTCCAAACAGCTGATAAAAACATCATAATAATCCACAAGCAATCCACACGACTCCAGTCCATCAATGAATGTCTTGTGTAGCAAAAAGCTGCATTCACTGCAGAGGATCTATTGGTGAACAAGTGATGTGATGCTAAATTTCTCCAAATTTGATCTGATGAAGAAACAAACTAATCAACATCCGTGAGGTCCTAATTAAGGTTATATATATATTACTTTAAAGAGTTTTGGTTTGGAAGTACTTTACCTGAACAGATACGTGGGGATCATCACCAGGTAAAATAACCTCTTTTCCATCTTTTCTCCATTCCACTAGCGCCATGGGAAATGCAAACACCTCGCAGAGAAATGCTATACTGCTGCCCGTTGCATTTACCAGATTATGCGGCGGCACCTTGATGATGGGGACTTACCGGAAATAGAGAAAGAGTGAGAAAGAGGTCAAATCAAGGATCACATTCAGAAACCATTCCTATGTCAGCCTGACTTGAAGAGCTGTTTAAAGGTCATAAATCTCTTCTTTAAAGTCACTGGGGAAATTATATGGGCTAGGTCCAAAATTCCCAAGTGCTGACAGCCCAGAAAGAAAAACACTCTTGAGATAACACTTCAAATCACTTGTGAAAGAAAATAAGAGAGAGACTAAATAAATATACATACATACATACTGTACATACATACATAATGAAATAAAAATGTTGGTAAGAGAAAATACAACATTTGAGACATCTCTCTGATTATTTAAAAAAATAAAATAAAATAAATATTTGTTTTAAAAACACCCTTGAGATATGTTTATTCCATGCATTAAATAATAATAATAATAATAATAATAAAGTAAACATTGGTTGGAAAAGCACTTGAGATATTTTTACTTCATGTAAATAAATAAATAAATAAATAAGTTTGGGGGGAAAAAACATTTGTGTTCTATTACTGTAAAAAAAAAAAAAAAATTGATATATAAATAAATACTCCACGTCTGTTGCATGTATTACAGTTTTTTACAATAGGACACATTTCTCAATACTAAAGTCACTTTTTCAAAACTCTTCCCAGTTCTCCTAACCATCTTTCAACTTGACACAGCAGTTTGTTTCGCATTCAAAATGCACTAAAACTACCAAAACACTTCATTCATGTCTCAAATCAAGTCATTCTAGCAAAGGTTTTCACCAAACAAAGACACTATAGCACTCGAAACACAACAACCTAAAAAAAACACTAATAACAGGGTGCATTATACAATGTTCTCTTTTGTAAAATGTCTTTACAAAACAAGAACGATACTCTCCACTGTGTAATTCACTGCAGTATATGGTACATGGTCCATGTCTACATTACAGTACAAAAATTATTCCTAAGTTTTTCCTTTTATATAGATGGCAATGAAAGTGAAAGACTAACACTTTATACCTAAACTCGCTAGTTCAAACTTATGTGCCCTCCAGAAGCTTAAATGTTCAATTGAATTATTGGCTGAGGGGGAAAAAACACTTTTAATATAATTCTATCTTAAATAAATAAATACATACATACTACATAAATGTTGGAAAAACACTTAAAAGTAAAAGTTTGCATTTATTAAAGATACAATATTGGTTGGGGGGAAACACAGTTCCATGTATTAAAGAAACAAAATAAATAAAGAAACACCTAAATAATGTTGTCTTGCTCATACCTGTCCTGCACGGCCCGTCGCTCACATTGAGTCCAGGATTTAAATACGCCGCTTCTTTATATTTGCAGGTATTCATGTAAGTCTGTCCGTCTGAGCCACACAGAGGTTTCTGGGACAAACACACACACTGGGCTTCTGGCTCCTCTCCGTCCGCTCCACCCGACCGGTCCCATTTGCACTCCAGGTTCTCTCCGCACAGTCCATAATAGACGTTTCTCTGGCCGAGATCACAGGTCTGTCCCTCCAGGTTGGCGCACTGAGAGCAGCAGCCGCAGCTGTCCCGCACCAGCCCCGCTCTACAGCCCAGCGGGAGCGGGCACAGCTCCGGCACACACTCCTCACACTCCTGCGTCCTGTTCCCCTCCTCAAATTCATCCGTCCCTTTGTAATAGTCAAAGGTGGCCAAGTCCTCGTCCATGTAGTCATCTTTGTAATTGGGGAAACCGTCTGCAGATCTGATGCTCAGAACCAAAACGGCAAACCTAACTGTGTGCATTAACATCGTGAGAGCCTATGACTTGTGGCAGGCTATGTATGCAATAAATGCAACTTTCCCCCCAAAGCTGCGGCTTCATCCCCGACTGTGTGTCTTTACTTCAGCCTCTCAGCCTCTGAAACCATCTGTGGCTGAAAGAAAATAAACACAGCTATCCTCCCCCACTCCCGCGACCTAGCTTTGTCATTGGATGCAAAAAAAAATTAAAAATCATGGTGTTTTTTTGTGGTGTAGCCTATTAGAAGTTTGCGAAACGATACATTGAGATTAAAAGAGTGTATGCACAGCGGGCGAATACTAACTACCACTAGGCGGCGGAAAATGTCTAAACTTTGACTTCAAAATGAAATGGTGTGTAGACATAAAACGGGGAAAGTAATTAGCATTTTTTTTAGCCATGCATTCTCAGTTTTTTTCTATTATTTATTTAGCTTTTACTTATTTATTATTTATTAAATATATATATATTAGAAATGTATCATAAAATTAATGTCAAAACATTTTGTTCTACAACATAAATTACACAGTCATAGCAACAGGTACATTTTGAAACAATTGAAATAAAAAAATATTAAATGAATTTAAATGATGCAATATTACATGGCATGGTTCCGAAACAGAAGAGACTGGGGTTAGTTGTCACACTTTACTCCAATGAATATTTGTCAGGGTACGTTTATTTTTGAAAGTTCATTTCTGTATAGCGTTGTGTAATGTGAAGAATAAGCAACTACCCGGCCTTGTTTTTGATATATTTACATTTTTGCTACACATATTTAATCAGTGTACTGAATATAATGCAATACATTGGCGCTGTTTACAACTGATGGCACTATAAGATTTTGAGTAGCCTATAAAAGCTTTCAGGGTGGGCAGCTTTGGCCCTCAAGGTCCACTGTCCTGCAGAGTTTAGCTCCAACCCTAATCAAACACATCTGAAAAAACCTAACTTCAGGATTACAGGCAGGTGTGTTTGATTAAGGGGTTGGAGCTGAATTTTGCCACACAGTGGATCTCAAGGGCCAGATACTGATTCCGTCCAAAGTATTGAAATTATATTCAACATTTTCATTGTCATTGTAGCTCAGGTAAAGAGATGTTCTTTGGTAACTATGGTCGGTCTTTGGTAACTATGGTATTTTATGAAATGTCCAAAGAATGCTGTTCAAATATGTTAAATTAATAAAACTGATAAGACATTACAGCATTACACCTAGAATATGACTGGTCCAAGATTTAGATACTGTAAACACATGCAAGCATATAGAGCAGTGGATCTCAGGACTACCACTGTCCACAACAATATTCAAAGGCCCCCTTTCATTAAAACTGCTTTAGTTAATGGGAACTCTAGTTTAGTTCATGATTTACCAGATGAGGATTTTTTAATAACTGTTGAATTTTTCTTTTACTCAGTTTCTACCCAATAAAACATTTTAGAGCTTGGCATAAAACATTTTTTTATTATAACATTTTAATAATTTAAATGACTTTGCTAGGTCTTGAAATCAAATTTTTTTAATTAGATCACTTAAAATATCCAAGTTTTCTGAAACTGTGTTTGAAGGGGTAAATTAAAATAAGAAATATCTATTTTTTTTATTGTTGATTTAGCTGATTTTAATATTTGACACCTTATTTTAGATTATTTCATCTTGAGGCCTCATCTTGAGGCCTCCCTTGGAGGCTTGCTGAGGCCCCTGGTTGAGAGCCTTGATTGGGATATCAGATCTTCTAGAGAGTCTATCTATAGACTTGTATTTATCAATTTGTTATTGTTGAATTATTTACACTTAATTATATTGTATTGCCTCTTTAATGTTTATGCCCTCTTAATTTCTTAACTTTGGCTATATTTTCATTTAATTGGTTGTACTTTTTGGTTTATGAACATCTGTGTGTTTATCCTATAAAACAACAAAACAGTTTATATGTAATGCAACATCCATGTTAACAGCAAGGTGACTCTCCAAGCCAGTGTGTTCCTCAAACAATTTGTCATTGATGAAAAACATGATCAATATTATGATTATGAAACATATTTAGTGACAAACTAAGATGTTTCCAAAATCTCACAGGATTCACAGTAATTGTGAATAGCAAAGATGCATCAGCCTCTCTCTTTCAGTTCCACATCCAGAGTTGGTCACTCTTGTTGTAGGTCCTGGGCTCTTGGCACAGGTTGTGCTGAATCATGGGATATGGAACAAAGCGCGGCTGGGCGAAAACTGACAACTAATGAAATAACTTTGTGGGGTATCAAAAGAAAAGGGAGGGTAGGATGGCGAGGGTGAGGATGTTTGGCTCGTACTTCTTCAGCCCTCCCAGTGCCAGCTGGTCAGCCTATTAGGACCTGACTATGAGGGTGTTCTGGACAGAGACATGTTTTGGCAATGTTTCCACCCCTGAGCTTGTGGTATATATTGAGCTGCTGATGCCACCCCAGAGCGACTGGCACATCCTGGAACTGGTAAGATATGCATATAATTGCTTGCTTTATTATTGTTCGTATTTTATTTCATTTTCATATATTAAAGTATGACATACAACAATTCATCCTTGTCATTCATTAGGCTTTTGCAATATTCAAGTATCTACACAATTGACACTAATAATTACTGTTTGCTTCCTATTCTGTTCCTAATGTTATCTCTGAACAAAGCTCATCACACCCATCCTGGTTCACTATGGCAACTGATCACCAGAACCCTGCAACCAAGCAAAAACAACCAGTTGCCAGTAACTTCAAGGTACAAACATGTTCCCAGAGTATCTGTGGTGTGTGTGTTACTCATCCGTTACTCTTCCTCATCTTGTTTAATACTATATCTCCCGTCTTCTGTTCTATAGTTGGTCATCTACGAACAGGAAAACTTTCAAGGCCGCTGTCATGAGCTGACTGGGCCCTGTAACAACATCCAGGAGGCAGACGTGGCGAAAGTGGGCTCAGTACTGGTGCTGTGTGGACCGTGAGTCTGTGTGTGAGAGAAAATAGCACGTCTGTGAGCGTAATATTGTGTGACATTCAATGTACAAGAAGCTAATATTGAGTAACTTAGGGATATATAAAGGGTTCAGTTTGTAGGGATATTTCGTTTCTCTGCCAAAGATAATAGATTCAAATGAAGCGACAGCTTCAGGCTTTTCTTGATGCCAAGCAGCACACGGAATGGAATTGAATGTGTGAGTGGGCCGGAGCGACAGCTCAATATTCCACCCCGGGTCTTTCATTTCACTCGAGTGTGAGAAAAACATTAATGTTTTCCCACGGATTTGGGCTAGTTTTAAACTATTGCTGCAGGTTGATCTTTTCCCCATGTGTTTAAGGTTTGACATATTGCATTAATTATATTTGACATAAATGCTTCTGTTGAATACAATTTATGTTCAACCACTGAGTGGCAATTAAAAAAATAATAATAAAAAGGAGGCCTATAATATGTCATGCATGGAAGTATTTTCGATCCATTCAAAACTTTCATATCTGTAATATCTTGAAATGTTTATTTTAGGTTATAAACCATAAATAGTATATTTTCAAATAGTTCAAAAATAAGGATTACCTCCCCAATAAGGATCTTGTTCACCCAGCTGTCAGCCTTAAGTTATGATGATTTTATTTATGAAAACAGACTGTTTATGATTGCTACTATACAATGATTTTTAGGTTGATATTAAGTAATGCATTATTGAGACTGTAAAATATATATTTTAGGTATGGGACTGGCATATTTTGAGTTTTGGTATTTGGGATAGTAAAATTGGACATTGAGCTAAATTTGATTGGCAAATGCACTGGTTTTGTTACACAGATCTGGCAACCCTGTTCCAGACACAGTGAAACCACTCCATACCACTCATATACTCTTTTTTGGAAATCTATGAACGTTGACAAATTATTTTGTATCATTGGATTGTTACACCAGCATTGGGCTGATGGGATTTGAGAACTGTTATATTAAGGAAAATGAATGAGAAAGAAAGCATGACAAAGATGTGCACTTTTTGTTCCAGGTGGGTGGGATATGAGCAGCCCGGCTGTAAGGGGGAACAGTATGTGTTTGAGAAGGGTGAGTATCCACGCTGGGACGCCTGGACCAACAGCAGACGCAGTGACTGCATCGTCGCCTTCCGCCCCATCAAAGTGGTAACAAAAAATTAACTGCAGGACTATAAAATTATCTTTAATATACATTACCATTCATACTTAATTATGACTATTTTGCACATTTGAGAATAACAGTTAGGTCATCATCAAACTTGTGACAAAACAAAACTAAGTAATAATTTAGCTTCTTCATGCCTTCTGGACATTCTCAACCAACTTCAGATCAAATGATTTTTAAGATCATAAAACAATGAGTCAAGTGTGTCCAAATGTGTATATTAAGTCTTTCAATATTCTGTTCTACACTTCCTATGTCCTCGCAGGACAGCCAGGAACACAAGATCGTACTCTATGAGAACCCAAGCTTCGCTGGGAAGAAGATTGAGATCATAGATGATGATGTCCCCAGCTTCCACGCTCATGGATACCATGAGAAAGTCTCTTCAGTTCGTGTGCAGTGTGGCACGTGAGTAATACCTCAAAATCAGCTTACATGAATACAGTGAACCCATATGTAAGACAATCTATTCAAACTATTCTAATCTTTAAATGTCCTCCTGTATAGTAATCATTTTGGTTCATTTCTTATCTTGGTTCCAGTTGGGTGGGCTATCAGTACCCAGGATACAGAGGCTACCAGTACTTGTTTGAGAAAGGAGAGTTTAAAGAGTGTTCTGAGTTTGGGGCCGTGCTGCCTCATATCCAGTCTGTGAGGCGCATCCGTGACATGCAGTATCACCCAAGAGGGGCCTTCCAACCCTCCACCTGAGTGCCCGGCACTTCTCCTCAAACCCTAAAGCTTCTGAAACGCCCCATCCTTCCCTTACTCTTCACCTCCGAATGCTTATCTTTGACCCTTTCAGTTGTCAGTGATTTCATTTGCTACTGCTGAGAAATAAATAAGTGATTTTGCGTTATGAATATTTCAGAGCTTTTATTTGGGCATTCACGGTTTTATAAGTGAATTGGACATTTTGAAATCCATATCTGATTGAGTCTATCAATTGATCCATAATTAATGTATTACATTCAATCTGTTTGAAATTGCCACCTGATTCTGCATTATATCAAGGTTCAAGACAAGTTCACAAGTCAAAACACGTGTTTATATATACAGTACATATATATATATATATAGTAATTTGTGAAATATTACAATTTAAAATAAGTTTTCCATATTAATATTATAATTAGAAGCTATTGCACCAATCTTCAGGGTTACATGATCCTTGTTGAATATAAGTTTCAAAACTTTTGAATAGTAATATACATTTCAAGACTTTTTTTCCACAATATACTATTCCAATTTTATGTTTATAGGTATATTCAGATAGCTGTGAAACATGTTAATGTATTTTCAGAATACGGTTTGAACTTTTATCAGAAAATGTGCATGTTAACTGAGTTTTAATCATTCTTTTTGATTAAAGCTGTTGTCTGCCAAAGGTGTTGTTAACAGATGAGTGCTTGTCAGTGGCTTCATTGCCTTGCAATAAAGAAAAAAAAAACCTTCTGAAAAGCACACTTTAAAAAAAAAAAAGATGGAATAAAAATATATTTATAGCAAATTTTATTATGAATTTACAGTATTGGACACTGGCATTACAACAGTGCAATAAACATCTTTACAGTCAAATTTCAAATAAAAAGGACAAATTACCCTTAAACACACTATAACAACTGTAGGCAGACAATGAAAAGAAGCTGATAATAGGGGGGAAAAAAAGAACCATAGGACACATTACTCGCATACCGTCAGCATCACAACATTGACATCACGGGTGAAGACTCGTGCGTTCCAAAAGTGACTTCTGATTAGAACCGCTGTTCATTAACAGGTGAAAAGTGCTTGTTATGTGGGAGTGGCACAACGGCCCAGCGTTTTTTTATTACATTTTTTTCAAAAATACGCTAACAACAAGTGTGCAATGTAATGTGAACGATGTTTACAGTACTTTGACATTTAAAATTTCCCTTAAGCAAACTTGTAAACAAAAGAAACGAACTCAAGATGTGTGTAACCTAAAGTGAGGGACACAAATGAAAAGTTTTCCCTTCTGTATTCATTCAATATGACCTTGTAAGGGAAGAAAAAGAGATTTACACGCTGATTGTGCAATTTCCTATCATAATTTTTTGGCCCACGGTTAAAGCAAGTAAAGTATTGGGATCAAAAGAAGAACAAAGTGAAATCAAGGGAATGATTGATTGTACATGCGCAATTTTTCCAATCATGATATTATGGATCCAAACATGATGGAGGACACGATGGAATAGTGAAAGCTAGACAAACTGAGGCAGCATACAGACCTTTGCATGTCTGAATGTCTCAAATCTGAAAAAAAAAGGTTATTAGGAGTGAAGACATGTGCAAACAAATGCTGAACTAAATTCATTCAGTGGCCCATCCAAACAGGTTTCCGCACGCACATCAACACACATACAGGACCGTAGTCCTTCAATGAATTTGAACTCATTTTTGATCATTAAACATTTACCACTTTCCTTTCAAACCGATATTAATACAAATATAACATTCTGTGATTACCATTTTGTCATAACTAAATACACTATCTATACAGACAGCTCAGCATTGATTTGTCGACTATTAAAGATTAAAAATAAATTGTGATCGTCTATGGAAATGCATGTGCAATTGATGCCTATAACCAACAACTGAACAAAATCAATGGGAATATGACGAACAAACAAACAAAAAATAGCATGGAAGCTGTACTACTATGAACATAAAAGGGTAAAAATAAACCAACATCATACTCCAGTTATATGAAGCACTTCTGGTTACTTGGAACCCACAGTTCCACTATGAAGGATGATCTCTCGCTCACTAGAGGTTAAAGTGGCTCTATGCAAAAATAATTCTCTCTCGTATGACGGAGAGCTGAAGAGAAACTCGACAACACATACGTGGACACACGGTTTACACATAGATCTCTGCTTCGCCCTTTATGTCAGTCAGAAATCTTTTAGAAAGGCACCATGCACATGTACATGACTGGAGAAGAAGGCCAGAAAAACCAATGAAACAAAATGATGTCGTAGTCAGCAGCAGCAGCAGAATTCCGGTCAACTCCAGGTCAAAGGTTAAGGCTTCTGTCACGGGTTACAGCTACAGATACTGCAGTTATAAGGCATCCTGAGATGATGGGGAAAAACACAAGTGGTTTGTGTTAGACAAGCAGTACCACTACACTAAACCCTTCTAATTAGGGATGTCAAAAGTACTGGTACTTTTCAAAAGTAGCATTAATATACAAACCCGATTCCAAAAAAGTTGGGACACTGTACAAATTGTGAATAAAAACAGAATGCAATGATGTGGAAGTTTCAAATTTCAATATTTTATTCAGAATACAACATAGATGACATATCAAATGTTTAAACTGATCAAAAGTCATAAACTGTTTAAGAAAAACTTGATCACCTTGCATATAATTTTGCCCATTACCTTGATTTCCTTACTTGTGTTCTGATGGCTTATTTAATGACCTTTTTTATATGCACAGATTTTTTATTAAATCCATTCATTGTTAATTAGCAACCTTCTGGACAATGAGTTCTTAAAGACACAGCTCACCCAAAAAATTTAATTTCTGAAGATTTTTAGTAACCAAATAGTTACTAAAAAACGAAACTTGTCCTCTGTTATGTTCCACAGAAAAATAAGTTTGACTGAACTATGCCTTTAAGTGAAAGTAAATAATAAATAAAATAAATACATATAAAAATGTAAAAAAAAAACAAACAAAAAAAACTATCTAACTGATTTAGCCTGAATATATTTTGTCTAATAATTATGCAGTGAAGACAGTCGTGCCAATAATTAAATCATTTTTAGCCAATGTATAGGTAATAATTTTTATTGTTTTACTTGAACAAAAACGAAATCTTTGTTTAGCTGTTAAAAACTTAAAGCACCTTGGCTTCATTTGCTTGTATTTTGCATCTATTGCTTGTAATTAAAATAATTAAATAAATAAACCTATAGCACCATGGCATTGTTTTATTTTAATCTGTTAGTACAAAGGCCTTCTGTAGCGAATCGATGCGTTTTTATAAGAAAATATCCATATACAAAGCGTAATAATCACTTTAATGTAGCTTGTGCTCACTGATGTACACTGGAAGCAGTTCCGAGGGAATGACGTATGGAGGTCAGCTTCACCCCCTGGAGCTGTGTGAGACACTTTTTTTTTATGGATGGGCGCATTTTATTTAACTGCTTTTGGACGGATGCATGCAACACACCCGCTGAGTGGCATTAAACAGCTTTGAAAGATCAAAGACAATTTTTTTATATAACTCTGACTGGATTCGCCTGAAAGAAGAAAGTCATATACACCTAGGATGGCTCTGGGGTGAGTAAAAGACAGCCTAATTTTCATTCTTGGGTGAACTAACACTTTAAGGTTAATAAAACTGGGTAAATTAAAAAAAAATAAAAAATCGCTGCTATTGCCGTCAACTACAGAAATTTTTGTATTGTGACAAGCCTAGTTATAATGTAATTGCACATACAGACACATAAGACGATTTACCTGCTTGTTCAGGCTGTACCGTCATTTTCATACTGACTCAAACGTTTTTTAGTCTTTAGTTCTTTCAGCCACTGAGGTGAGGACTCTTCTCTGAGAGGGGATGAAGAGAGAAAAAAAATCAGAAACAAAAACAAACGATAGACGATTCTGAGACATTCTGATGTCCATTGTCCTAAAAGCACTCACAGATTCTCTTTGCCGCCAGCAGGAGGCAGCACACGGGAGGCTCGAGGCAAGAATGGAGATTTGGGTGAGCGTGAGAGCTGAGAGGGTGAAGGGCCGTCTGTCTGATTGTCTGACTCGCCTCTCTTCTTTAGCTGAGCCTGAAATGAATGAACGAATCTCGCGTCACATAAGCTGCAAAATGATCAGCTTCCAAACAAATTCATACAATTTTAGCCTGACCAAAAACAAGCATTGTTAGAAAGGTGCTTCTGTTTAATCACCATGATTTACTTATTTTTCTTAATCATATCATATCATATTTGATATGCAAATTTCTATCTTCAACATTGTCAAAACTTTAATGAATTTTCTACATGCCAATCGTCTGATTGACAGTTCATACTGTTTTATCAAGTGATAATTCTAACCTCTACTCATATTTTAGCTGTGAAATCTTTACAGATTTTTATAAAGTAAATGTAAGAATAAATATTGTTATATTGTTAGTAACATTTCAAGATGAACATTTAATTGACTGAAACAACTTAGGTTTACTTGATTACCCATAAATACATACATACATACATATATTTATTTATTCATTAAAAAAAAAGTTAAAATGTATCATTTATTCCTGTGAGCATCAAATGTAATACATCAAACTTTTCAAGGAATGCCTTTTTTATTTGTACATTTCTTAATCATCATTGCATTACATTGCATATTATATGATCTTATTAAGACATTACTGAAAGACACAGTGTGTGATATATACACACACATATATATATATATATATATATATATATATATATAT